AGCAGATCATCACTGACAACGGAACCCAATTCGAGGCCGGGGGGTTCAATGAGTTTCTACAGAGCTGGGGCATAAAACACAGCTATGCGGCGGTCGGGTACCCCCAAACCAATGGGCAGGTTGAGAACACCAACCGTACCATCATGGATGGCCTCAAGAAGAAGATAATGGAATGCAAAAGTGCCTGGGTGGAAGAAGTGCCCTATATATTGTGGACCTACAGAACTACTCCAAGGAAGGCAACAGGTGAAACCCCTTTCTCGCTCACATATGGATTTGAAGCAAGGGCTCCAGCGGAGACCTCGTTGTTAAGTTATAGAGTAGAGACGTTTGATGCTCAAGGAAATGAGGAGAACCTGAGGGCAGAGCTGCACCTCATTGATGAGCGAAGGGAAAGGGCATATATGCGGGCAGAAAACTACCGCCGGCAGGTCAAGTCATATCACGACCAGCGGGTGCGACCAAGGCAGTTCAAGTTGGGCGACTGGGTTCTTCGGAAAAGGGAGGTCAGCCGGCCGACCGGTGGAGGAAAGTTTGCTAAAAGCTTCGAGGGGCCATATATCATAAAGGAGGTATTGGCCGATGGGACATTTAGATTGCAGACTCCAACCGGTGGCGACGTTCCGCGAGTATGGAATGCCGCCAACCTTATTAAATTTTATCAATAGATTGTACCCCAGCCATGTCTTATTTTTGAGATTTAATAAATCCAGCTCTCTGGCACATCTTGTCTCCAATTCTTTAAAAAAAAAAAAAAAGGAGAGGCGACGCGACCACAAAGGATCGATCTCTAAAATTGCACGGTGATTCGTGCTAAGATACCCAGTAGTGGGTGAAGCGTCGAACCCTGTCAGGCGACCAAGGTTGAAGGCGACGCCGTGGCAAGAAAGTCTGAGAGAACGGCTAAGTCTGGAACACAAGATCTGTTGATCGCATGAGCGACCAGGGATCTTGGGGGTATGGCGACGCCACAAGGGTCAAAGTAACCCGAAAGTGGCTAAGTCAAAAGAGGCGGGGTATTCTCTGATTCAAGTCCGAGGGAACCGGAACGTCAAATGTAGGATGCGAAAGAGAAGAAGGAGTAAACGGGAAACATCAAAATACAGTCACAGAAATGTTCATTACGTTTCAAGGATAATCTCTTGCATCTACTACAGTACAGTTGAGAACAATCTCTACGTTAGGAAGGATACTTCCCCATACATCTCCTACAATGAAAAACAACAATCTAATACTTTGCGAGCGAAGGTCTAGGGGGGACAGGCAGGTCTGAAAGGTAGTTCTGCGGCTGTATAGGCAAGCGAAACTCCGATCACCAGCCGTCCAGGACGACCACCTTTCTTCCCCAACATGGAACAGGAGTGGTCGCCCCCAGCCTCGGCAAAAACCCACCGCCCTTCTCCTACCGAGAAAGGGCGGGGGACGGCTCACTTCTCTGTGAACCCCAACCAGCATCACCTAGGCGAGGACAGAGATCCTGAAGCCGCCCGAGCTACTTCAGGTCGCCTAGGGGTCTTCTGGGGAAGTGAGTGGCAAGCGGGGCGAGGTAGGGAAGAACCCAGTTCTTCCCCTAACACAACCTCCTCCGTAGGCCTCACCGGCGAATTGGTGCGACTTTCGCTAGTCCATCGTTCAAGACTTGCGTAGTATGCGCACTCATGCTCCAGGAGGGGTAATTGCTCATCTTGAAAGCTTTCCCAGGCCATACATTGCAGGGAATGGAGGGGGCATGGAGCATCCCAGTCAATCCGCCCGTCAGGCAGGCGGTTGGCGGAGAGGGCCTCGTACGCCTCACTAAAGTCCTCATAAGGGTTTGGAGGTGGTGGCGGCGGTTTCACCGACGGCCACTGCCGGCGAGGCAACCGGCGACAGAATTCGTAAGGGTCAAGCCCCCCAGTCATTGGAATTGACTGACTTGGGGGAAGAGGCAGGCTCCGGCGAAGAAGGAGCCGGCCCGTCGGAAAGATCTAGAGAAACAGGAATTCCTTAAGACATGGCAAGAATGGAGAAAAGGGGGATATTTGGTGATGGAGCAGAGTAGAGGCCAGGGGGACTTATAAACAAGCCAGGGCGAAGTAATCGAAGAGGCGGTCAAGTCTCGAGGCAGCCGAACCGATAAAGCAGCCTTGAGCCGCGCGAAGTTCCAATCAGAAACGGCGAAGGGCATTGGATCAATTGGGCGGCATGATGGCCAATCCAGGGATTGAGCCCGGGCAGGTAAACGGGCCGGGACTAGGAGTTGGGCCCAAACTAAAACATACATGTTAACCAGCTAAATCAAAAAGGAGAGTGCCGAAGTAAAGCGCTAAAAGGAGAAAACACATGGCGAATCTAGAAAATTAAACAACATAGGAGCATTGTATCAAAACGACAAATCATTTCGAAGGAAAAGAGATAGGCAAGTGTTGGTAAAGCTATGGGGGAACAATGGGGGATTTAGACGGCCGAGCCGGAGGGTCCACCCGCTTTGGACAAGGCTAGGCTGGCCCCTGGATTCTGGTCGCTCTAACCACCTTCCATTTCTTCTTCTTCCTCCTCTTCCGACGCACTCGAGCTCCCCCCGTCCAGATAGGGACTGGGGTCGAACTCGGCCAAGGAGCGGCAGGGAGGAGGGAAGCCAAGGTCGGGGAGAGAGAACCCTTTAGGGAGTTGGGCCAGCCTGTTGTGGAAGACCTGTTGGGCATGGAAGAGTCCGCAGTTGAAGGACTTGGTTCCCTCCTTGACCATCCATTGGGCCCCAGGTTCAGTTTTGAGCCAAGCGGCCGTTAGTTCTTCCATCCGCTCCAGTGCGACCACCGTGAAGTCAGGAGAGGACTTGAAGGATTCTACCGCTCCCTCTGCATGGCGGACCCGATCGTTCCTCTCCACCTCCAGCTGCTGGATCAGATCAGATTTCTCCCCTTCCAGCTCGACCACTCGAGCAGAAACAGATTCTACCTCCAAGGACAAGGAGGCCTTGTCTGCCTCAAGGGCGACGCATCGGTTCTCCTGGGAAGCTTTCTCCACAGTAAGCGCCGCGCAGCGATTTTCTTTCTCCTTCAACTCCCTGGTGAGTCGGGCGACCTCCTCCTGCAGCTCCTTCTGCTTGGCCTCGGCTGCTTTCATCACATCGTCCGCGGCGGCCTGGCGACCCCGTCTCCGGCCGACCACCTCAATCATCCCCAGCGTAGCCTGCGCAAAGGGGTGAGGGTTAGGGGCCAAAAAAGAAAAGGAGTGATGCATAGGAGATCAAGACCAGTACCTGACTGAGCCTCAAAAGGACCATGTTGTCGAGGTCATCCTCGGAGCCTGCCGAGATACGAGCCTGGTCTTCTGCAGGCAGAGTGATAAGAGTCTCCAGCTGTACGTCTCCTAGGCTTTGGGGCAGGGGAGGGATGCAGAGCCTCGTCGAGCGACCCTCGGTCGCCACCTCGTAGGTCATTGCGAGTGGTGATGGAGGTCGCCCCAAGGCTGTGCCCTGAGACGACCCAGCAAGGTCGCCACCCTGCATCACGGGGTGTGGAGGGGACTGGCCAGCCATGGTACCCGGTTCCTGGGTAGCATCTTCTTGGTCCTCCACCGCAATTACTACCGGCTCTCGAGAAGGACCCTCCTCGTGGTGAGATGAAGAACGTTTGCCCTGGCCCCTCGTCTCTCTCTTCCTTTTCCTCCCTGCGGTGAAGCGACTGAGCAGGAGATTGCTGTCCATCTCTTCTCCTGAATCTTGTATTTCCACTGGAAACAAAGGAAATGGTCAGCCTTGGGAAAAGATAAACTAAACATCTGGGCAAAAGAAAGGGTCACCTACCAAAAGGACCACAATCAAGACCTTCCTCAGGAATGTCCTTCAGCTGGTCAGGCTGATGCCCCCCGGGGATGTCCCTCAGTAGGTCGGGTTGGTGGCGAAGCTCGTCCTGAACAAACTCAAACCCCAACCCGGCAAGGGTTTCCTCTGTCACCACCTCTTTGATGTTCATAACTCCCTTATTGCAGAATTGGCGGGTGATAGACAAAAGGGTGGCATCAGGTGGGGGGCGTGGGATGCGACGGAAGGAAGGGCGCCCTGAACCCGTGAAAGGAGATTCGGGCCCCGTCGAAACGAAGACAAAGAAAGGCTTCCAATCTTTGGTTGACCCCTTCTTATCACTAGCAAAGAGTTTACTGGACCTCTGGGAAAGACTGGCATAGGACGCCCAATCCTTATGGCCCTTGGTCAGTTTGAAGGTGAATATGAAATGGTCCAAGGTCGGATTCACCCCTATATCTTTGCACCGGACCAGGTAACCGGCGATGTACCGGTGAGAGTTGGGGACCAGTTGGCACGGGAGAA